CTTTTTTCCTTCTTTTACTTGAACAGGTGATAAAGGTTGATCATGAGGCTCACGGCGTTGATACTCCAGAAGATGTTCAGAAAATAGAATCATATATGCATGAAAGGAACTTGTCCTTGGTAGGTGGGATTTTCTTCTCTTTTTTCATTTGGTTAGTATGTACTTGTAACTGCTAATGTATGTGGGAACATTGCGGAATGTAGTCGAACCTTTGGCTCCTTTTAAGGAGATGATTATAGATTGAAAAATGATTGGTTCTCCGATTGTCGAATCCGAAATGCTTCCAAATGAGACTATAATAAATTCACCCCATTGTTGTTGTTACTTACATGGATGCCACTGAATGGTGTTCGGACAGCTTTCGGCTTGTTTTCTTTGGAGGATGTAGGATCAGTATCGTAGATTATCATGTGCAAAACCCTTTTTCTTCCGGTTTATGTGGGGATAAGTCGTTAGAGCTTACACATACGAAGGAGGAGCATGCATATCTTCTCCACCTTTACCGTGGTTAATTATGAAGAAGTCGTAATTTTCTTGCTCGAAAATCTGCTTCACTTCTCCAAGAGTGCAGAGGGTGTGAGAACAAGGCAAGGGTGGCAAGCGACTCGTTTTAATTATTGCATTCAGTTCTTGCTTCAGAAGTCGGATAAAGGGAAGCTAGTATAATACAAAGATGATTTAATTTCAAGTGCATCCCAAGATGTTACCTCTAAAGAGTTTCACGGTAAAATTACCAAAAAAAAGTTATAAATCTATTGCATTTATGCCAATTCAGTCTTAAACTTCTCAATTTGTGTCAATTTAGTCTTAAATATTTTGATAATTTGCCATTTTAGTTATTCCGGCAAATTTTGACCAGAAATTGCTAACGTGGACGCTAGTCGTGCCCCCTAGGCATGGAGTTTAAGATTGAATTGACACAAATGCAATATGTTTAACACTTTTGCGGTCATTTCCCCGGAGCTCAACAATAGCTTAAAAGAGTGCTTGGGCCGGAACATGAACCAAAAGCACTTGAATTCGTACATGAATTGGCAAAGAGAAAAGTCATTCGGTGGATCCCCCAACTTTCAAGCTAATCAATGAAAACTAGTTTCAAGTTGACAGTCGAAGACCATATATTAGTCGACATACATGATTTGAGCCCATTTTACAAAACCTAATGGAAGTTTCATATTCCTCATCGAAGTCGCTATGTAGAAATGCTTTGTTGACGTCTGTCTGATGCAACTCCTAATTATGAGCCAATGTAAATGCAAGAAGACACTACATAGTGACTAGGTTAGCCACTGGTGCAAAGTTTCATGGAAGTAAATGCCTTCTATCTAGGTGAATCCCTTCGCGACAAGATGAGCATTATATCATTCAATATTGCTATTGGCTCGACGCTTGATCTTGTAAATTCACTTGCACCCTTTGGGTTTCTTGCCATCCGGCAAAGTTGCTAGAGTCCAAGTCCCATTATCTCTAAGTGTCTCCACAAAGGATTTTGAATAGCCTCAGTATAATTTCTAGGCTCAATATTTGAATCAACAGCAGCTAGAAAAACGATTTGAGGCTTAGCAAATCATTTGTAAGAAAGAAACTCAATTTAATAGGCAAAAACTTGAAGATATCGAAGGAGTGGGCTGAGGAGTTGGGGTTTCTATTTGGAACGTATGGCACATATAATCTTGGAGATGGACCGGCTGTCTTTTCTTTCATGCGAGATTAGTTGGTACTAAAATTGGTCATCGGGCTGCTTGCTTGGCAACTTCTTCACTTGGACTGGACCGTCACAATCTTGCATCACCGTTTGCCCATTTCTTCATGAACTTGGCTTGACACCTTTTCTTCCTCCCTTGAGATTGATTCCACCCACCATCAGAAGGCCCCAGCTCACGAACTGGTGTCAAAGGAGGAAGAGAGGTTTGATCCTCATGTGTAGGTTACTGAGCAAATGGAAAATTATTTTCATAGAAAACAATATCACGGGATACCAACAATTTTTCATTTTCCAAATAAAAAACTTTTGAACCTTTCTTGTCGTATGGATATCCCAAAAATACACGTTTTCTTGCCCTTTTTATTTATCTTTGCCCTTTGACTGTTTGTGAGTATAGCACAGTGCACCAAAAACTCGCAAATGACTATAACCGGGGTTTTGCAAACAAAAGCTCAAAAGGCGTTTTTCCAGATAATAACATAGTTGAAGTATAACTAATTAAATAAGTAGCCGTTAATATGCATTCTCCCCAAAATCGAATCGGTATATTCACTTGAAAACAAAGTGCTAATGCTACATTGAGAATGTCCTGGTTTTTCTTTCAACCTGCCCATTTTGCTGTGGCGTGTAGGTGCATGAGGTTTGATACGTGAGTCCACTTTTTGAAAAAGAATCCTTCATAAAATTAGAAAGAAATCCACGGCCATTATCACTACGAGCCATTTTAGCTACTCGACCAAATTGAGTTTGACTATATGATAAAAACTAAGGAAGACTTTGTACGTCTCTAATTTACCTTCGTCAAATAGGCCCAAATTGCTCGACTATTATCCTTGATGATAGTTAAAAATTATGTGCACCCGAGAGAGACCTTGTTTGATACAGCCCCCAAACATCACAATGTTAGAAATAAAAAATTCCACTAGCTTTATTATTACTTAAAAGAAATGAAGAATGGATCTATTTTGCACGACAACATACATCACACAAATTAGCCCCTTCTTTATTCATTTCAATACAAATGATCAAAATCAAAGCTTGCCTTGATGGGTGCCCCAATCGTTGATGCCATATGTCAATATTCTGTCCCTTAACCACTGGAAAAGCTGAATGAGTGCTCATACGTTTGAGATAATAACCCCCTTCTTGAAGATTACCTACTCTTATCAATCTCTTCGAGACTAGGTCCAATATGACACATTGAGAAGAGAAGAACGAGCATTTGCAAATTTGAACTCAATCTTCTAACATAAATAAGATTTTACTTAAAGTTTAGGACATATAGAACATCGTGCAAAATAAACTCTAGGATTAAATAAACATCGCCTTTTTTGGTGGTGGGAGTCACTTTTCATCAGGATTTTGTATATGATATGTACCCGTGATGGTCCTTGGTTGATTTAAAAGCAAAAGTTACCCCGTCATATGTTTGGAGGCCCCAATATCGATAATCCAGTTTGTGGAAAGATCATTGGGCCAATAGATCATACCTGAGAGTTGATCATTAGAAGTGGGCAGTTTCATCGCCGTGAGTAGACTGACCAAATGCTAATATTGATTATTGCTCATTATTGATGCTGTCTCGGTCCTTGCGGACCTCCTCAATTTCTATCATCAATAGTGCTAGAACCGCTGTTGCTAGTCTGTGTGGAATGTACAATTGCTGTGGGAGCATTCCCTTTGCATGCCTTTCCACCTCGCCATGGCTCCTAATTTGGAGGATATGCAATCAACTCCTAGCAATGACTCTTCTTGTGCTTGACCTTCTCACAGTGGTCACATTTAGGTTCCCCAAACGGTACTTTCCTAGAACCTGCTCTTCCAATCGAGAAAGGAGCACCCTCGATCTTCTCTTCCCTCCCTCGGATAATTGATCTTTGAAACTCTTCCTACAAGATCATAGAACAAACCTTACTGAGGCACGAGAGTGGCCTGACATTGAGAATTTGAGAACGAACATTGCTATAGGTCTCAGCATATGAGCCCATAAGAAACTGGTGGATCTTCTCCACCTCCTTATTCTTAGTGTACATTGTGGTTGCTACATAGATTCATTCTCATACATCATCATAATCATCGGGTTCATCCCCTAAGGCCTTCAATTTGGTGTAATATTCCACCATCAGAGTCCCCATTTCTATAATAGCCCAATCTCGATTTTGATCTCGTGCATCCGAGGTCCGTTACCATAGCAAATCTCTCCTTAAGCTTGTCCCACGTTACTTTTGTTTCCTTTGCGTATGCCACGCTTCCTTGTGTACTCTTGTCAAGGGAATTGAAAATTCATGAAACTACCATGGAATTACAAATGTCCCGAGCATTAAATTTGGATGCCGTTGGATCCGTCGATAAGCCCTAGTTTGTTTTTTGCGCACAATAGGGGTGAGCAACTTGGACCGCCCAAACCGGGACCGGACCGGACCGACGAGTTTGGTCCGATTCTTGGGACTATCGGTCCGGTTCCCGGTTCCTAAAAGCGGAACCGGTTTCCGGGCGGTCCGGTCCGGTTCCCCCGGTTCCCGGTTCCAAGGGGGAACCGGACCGGACCGGACCGACTATTTAATATATATATTTGTTATTTTTTTCTTTAAAAAAATTAATAAAATGTGAACTAAACTCTAAGTGAACTTCATTATCATAAATTCATTGATAAAAAATAGTAAAATGTGAATTAAACCCTAAGTGAACTTCATTGACATAAATTTATTAACAAAAATTAGTAAAATGTGAATCAAACCTTAAGTGTTTGACCAAAAAAAACCCTAAACTCTAAGTAACCGGTTCCAGGTCCTAGAACCAACCGGTCCGGTCCGTGGTTTCCAAAATTGGGAACCGGTTCTCTCGGTCCGGTTCCCGGTTCCATCTTGGAACCGGACCGGACCGGGAACCGCTCACCCCTAGCGCACAATGCGTGTCTCCTTGCTTTCGATCATGTTGCCTAATTATTCAAGGTCAGCGTGCATGAAATGATTACGCTTTCAGGATTGTCCGAGGTGTTGAAATATGGCGAGAAAGGGTCAATCATCCTATTTGCATATGCTTTTTCTGGTCGAATTGTCTGGCGTGTTTCAAACACTTTGCTCTGATACCATGAGAGAGAAATCCTAATTGTTTGTATTACTCATTATACAATACAAACATTCATACAATGTGTTGTTTAACAGAAGAGGAAAAAAAATCTGTCAAATATCTCTAGCTAATTATAAGAGATATATCAGATATTCTGTTACCTAAAAAACAAAAAGTAAATCCTAAATATTGATGAAAGATACACCAAATATTATCCAAAACAATAAAGAAAATCTGCAGCAAATCTTTCATATTAGTCCTCATTAGAACATCAAACCAGTCAAAATGCTGCAGTAATAGAGGGAAGAGTAGAAAGGGAACTACAAAAAGTCAGATCCAGTTCAGGCGGTTCTTCGAGACATCGCAGTCCTCTACAAGGAGTCAGATGCAGGTTCTCGAGCGATTGCAGTAGTTCGAGTTCCCAAAGAGGCAGAAGGTTGAGGTAGTCGGGAAGAGGGGTCGATTGATATGTTCGGGATTGCTCACCTAGTTGTGGTTCAGAGCCTCCAGATCGCAGTCCTTCGAGTTCCAAGAGAGGCAGATGGTCGAGGCAGTCGGGAAGAGGGGTCGATTCATTTGTCCGGGACTGCTCACCTAATTGTAGTTCAGAGCCACCGGATCGCAGTCCTCCGAGGAGTTTCAAAAGAGGCAGACGGTTGAGGCAGTCGTGAAGAGGGGTCGATTCACTTGTCGAGGATTGCTCAAGGCAGTCGGGAAGAAGAGGGGTCGATTCATTTGTCCCGGATTGCTCACCTAATTGGAGTTCAGAGCCACGGTCTGGTATCACATCCAGCGTGAGACCGTCGTCAAATCCACCCATGTCGCGCAAATCTTTCACTTGTGTTGCAAGGTCGCTCACTGGACCCTCCAACATGATCAGAGAAAAGAAATGCCCCTCTCGAACCTTTCGTCCTAACTTGCGCACTTGATCCTCCAGCAATCCTATACTTTGCATCCACAACTCGACTTCTTTCTTCCTTTTCTTTCCCGGTGTTCTCTCTTCCTGCTTTAGTTGGTCACCCACGTCGTCCTTCCTGGCTGACAAGATCCGCATATTCATTTCCAGAGCATCCATCTTCGCCCTGACTCCATTGACCTCGCTGACCTTTTGAAAAATGCTGATGCCACAGGCGGCTCCCAGAATCTTGCCAGCCACTGTAAGACTGCAGAGAGCATTAGGGTAAAGAAGTTATTGATTAGGGGAGAAGCTGCGGGGATGCAAAACAACAACTTAATGCGGTTTTGATGCTGCTGTAATTTGAGGCAAAGAAGCAATTGGCAAGTTGGAAACATCTCTTCGACCAAAAATAAAGAGTTGGAACTTCTCGAGGACATTTCTTTGCTTCCTGAGAAAACCCACTAATCCTACTAGTGCAAATGGAAACTCGGGTGGCTGACTCCACAGGCAATAATAGTCTTTAATAGATCCGTCAAACGAGCGAGTCAGGCTGGGTCGAAAATAATTCGACCCAAATTGATTCATCTTTATGCAATACAATTTTAGTGATCCACACCCATATTCGGCCCGACTTGAATATCGATTTAACCCATATCTAATCCGATTTATATTACTAAAACACATCCATATTTAAACAAACCTAAGAAGATACATACCCGCCCAAAATAAAAAATGTTAATAAATAAAAAAACCTAAAAATTAAAATACTTATAAAGAATTAGTAAAGTCTGCACGTATTGTAAGGATGCATATTTTATATGCATGCCTTAATATATGTTTTAGGCCTAAGTTAAGGAGAATGCCCTCGAAACATGGAATTGGTATTTTAAAAAGCGATAGAGGCAAAATTCTACTAAATGAGAAAAAAAATCAAATTAAGTAAAATGATTACGCTTTCCACAGCAGACCCCACATCAAGGAGATCGCTCTCGCCGACTCCCTCGTCGTCGTCGTCTCCCTCCTCGTCGTTGGCACTCTCGGTGTCGTCCTCAGCATCCTCATGGCCTCCTGTGGAGTGGGTGGCGACCAAACAAAAAAGCCATTCCTTTCAGCTAATCACAACATCATCCTTTGTGGAATGAAGATGGCTACCAAGCCCAGAGTGATGTCAATTCAAATCAGCAGGCTGAGTAGATTTCAATTGAAGCATGTTAATGGAGCGCCTAATTGACAAGGATACAATTGCATGGGACTTCTCACCCATCCAACTAAGTCTGAGCAGGGATAAGAAGTTGGCTATTCTAAGTGTTACTATTGGTGGGCAACTTACAGCGAAATCTGCCTAATGTTCCTTGGCACTGTGCAGGAGATACCATGCAAGAAGGCACATTCAAGCTCACATAACGTGAATCAGAAGACACGGAAGGCCATTTGGAATATCCTCTCAAACGGAACAACTTTCTTCGGAGGGCCGTTTCTGATGCACTTGATACCAGTGGTGCAGAACAAGAATAAACTGTTCAGCACATGCTACTGAACTGTGGACTGGGCATTTTTTGTTTGGTTTGGTGTATTGGACATTAAAATTGACAGGGAAAAGTTGCAACCTTGGATGCATAGTGGACAAAATTAAGCACCACAGATGCTAAGTTCGTACCACAAGGTACAGCTGGTCTTTCAACGAGACGGGATAGTGTTCCTTTGGTTTCGAACACTAGAAAGTATGTCATTCGGAATGTGGCAATTGGGTTCCATTGGCTGATACTGCTAGTAGGAAGATGTGTCCCTGGAATCGGACCTGTGAACGCCTATTTCATTTAACGTCAAACTCGATGATTTTAAGGCCTGTCCCCCATTGACAGGGTTGTTCTGTGCTGAAAAGTGTATTGGGATGAAGTAACTCTTTCGGCAAGAAAAGAAACAAAAAAACAAACATAACAACGTATGCTACCGTGGTAATTTGCTCATAGATCACCAAAACGAGAGAACAGACAATCCACACGACACAGGATGTAAGTTTTCTTCTCGTTCCTTGTGTAAAGGATGTGTGAAATAAATCAAGGAAACTAGGCATGACAATTTACCAGTACCAGTTCCATGGAGAGCGCAGGCAAATATAGGAAAAAAGAAAAAGAACCCTCCGAATTTGCACTAATCTAAAGCAGTCTCACCTGGTAAAAGCTTGCCGATAATCCTCCAAAGGAAATACCGCAACCAGAGATTGATTCAACAATGGAATTAAGAGACAATATAGGGAGAGTAGAGACAGGCCACAGCCGAGGAAAATGGTGAAGTCAATAGACGCACGAGTAAACTTCGCGGACGCTCTGCTCTTTTTAATAAACGCCCGGAGCAAAAATCTTGAGGCACGGTGTCTACGGGGGACAACTTCCTGGAAGATGTTCGAGGCAAACAGACGATGGAACCATCATCGAGAGTCTTGCATACACCTTCTTGGAATTAGCCAACGTCTTTGGTTCACGCGTTAGCGGCATCTTTGATCCCCCAAGATGGTCGGTTTCAGGTAAGAAACTAGTTGACGCCCTGTGCACCGTGCCGACAGAGATATCATTTGCAAAAGACAGTACCAGTGCTCTTTAGCTTTTCTGCTTCATCATCACATCAACGTCGCATGGACTGACGTTTTTGCTAGACAGGATAATCAAGTAATCAATAAATCTTCGTGATTCGTTTGTTTCACGGAAAATTAATTATTTAAAAATGATTTCCCTAAAATTGATTGTTTGTATTGCTTATAAAAATGGATCAGCGAAAAGTACGTCCATTGACAATAAAAATATTTAAAGATAAATTATTATTGATAACAAGATTATTTTTTGGTTAATTAATAATTCTATGGGCTACGGACAATCACTTTGATGAAAATGTCTGCGAAATTACTGATTTCCGAGGGAACAAACGGACTCAGTTAAAAAACAGGAAATCTCTTCTTTGTCGCTAAACTAGTTATTGCATAGAACCCTTGTTCATATGTTGCAAAACTACATGCGACAATTTACCTCGAACCGAGAAGGAAAGAGACGCGAGATACGACCAAGGAAAAAGAGGTCTGACCAGACCTTCCTTGAAGATCCGTTTAATTAGTATAACCAAGTTTTAACTTCTTTTCTTTTTTCTTTTGTTCTTGTTTCACGGCCTCTTTCTACTCAGAGGAAGCACCAAAACGCGGGAAAAGATGAGACCAGGATCGAGTTAAGTTGGCTTGAACACAGTATTAGATGTTTAAAGTAAAAGAAAAATTGTAGAGAAAAATTCAAATGTTTAAAGTGTTATATTCCATGATATGATTTATACAGATTATTGAGCATATTTTAGCGAATTTCTAGTTCTTATGCATGTACTTCTTATGCACGAAGATTTTATCTTGAAACATCTATTTATAATGTATATATTGATTCCATCTATTATGAATATAATTCCATTTACTTCTATCACTTATACTCTTTTAGGCTCTGTTTGTTTCACGGAAAACAACTTCCAGAAAAATATTTTACGGATTTTCCGGTGTTTGTTTCACGGAAAATAAACTAGTCATGCAAAATATTTTCCACCAATGGAAAAAAAAATACATTCAAAAGTGAGGAAAATGTTTTCCACTTCCATATCTTCTTTCACCTCATTTTCTTTCAAATAACAGATTTTCTTTTATTTTTTTCTTTTTTAAAAATCTATTTTTTAAATTTTCTTTTTTTTCCTTTTCTTTTTTTTTTCTTCTTCCTTGACTGGTCGCTAGCCATGGCGGCGGCGGCCGGCCACAGGCGAGGCTTGAGCTCGCCTGTGGCTGGTCGTCGGCCGTTACCGTGGCCGGCGACTGGCTAAGGAAGAAGAAGAAAAAAAGAAAATGAAAAAAAAGAAAAAGAAAATAAAAATAAAAAAAATTTAATAATTAAAAAAATTAAAAATTTCGAATTTTTTTGGTAATTTTCCCTAGAAAATCAATTGGATACCAAACGGCAGAAAATATTTTTCATGTCATTTTTAGGTTTCAGTTGAACACTAGAAAATATTATCATTTTTCTGGAAAATATTTTTCAAAAATATTACATTTTCTGCGAAACGAATGAAGCCTTATACATTGATTATTTGGATGATCAAAATAATTCATCTTAAGAGCACCTAGGATGCAGACTGCGCATCCTCATTAGACAAAGAGGTGGGTGTCCATTGTCAAATTGGTACCCTATAGCACAATTGTCCAAAAAGTCCTAAACCCATCGCACTTTTGCCAATTCAGTCTTAAACCTTTTAATTTTATCAATTGAATTTTAAACCGTTTCACGTTTTGCCAGTTGAGTCCATCCGACCAATTCTGGCCGGAAATTGATGACGTGGATGCCGACTGTTCTACGCGGTATTGTCGGCACTGATATGGACATTTTTAAAATAATATTTTAACATTTTTTTGATTTTTTGATTTTTGATTTCTTTTTCATTTCTTTTCCTTTGCTTGTCTTTTTTTACACCTTTGGTCGGCGAGGGCCAGGGATCTCACTTGGTTTGGTTATGGGCGAGGGTCGATGCCCATGTCGGCCATAGGTGAGGGCGAGGGCCGTGATGAGACCGACGCCCTCGCTAGATCCAGACGAGGGGCTCGTAGCCCTTGCTTGTGGCTGGCGACCTCGCCAGCTGGAGGTGTAAAAAAATAAATAAAAGAAAAGATAAGAAAAAAAGAAAAAATAAAAAAAAATAAAAAAAATAATTTAAAAAGGTTCATGTTACCGCCGGTTGTGTCACGTAGGATGGACGATGTCCATGTCATCACTTTCTGGACAAAATTGGCCGGATGAATTTAATTGGCAAAATTAAAAGGTTTATGACTGAATTAGCAAACGTGTAATAAGTTTAGAACTTTTTGGATAATTTTTCCAAATTTTGTTGGATTATTTGTATTGGCTTTTTTACTAGAATTATATACTTTTCATGATCCATGGAGACATTGCTTAGCCAAGAAACATGAAAAATATTCATTATTAAAGGACTTGAAGGTTGAAAAAGAAGATTCAAAGATGACCTCTACCCATCGTCGGCATGCTCATGTGGCACTTGCTTCCCATATGGAACTAATTAGCATCGATATCGTTATTATGGGAAAAGTGTTAGAAAAGTCATAAACCTATTGCGTTAGTGTCAATTTAGTGCTAAACCTTTTTTTTGTGCCAATTAAGTCATAAACCTTTTGATATAGTGTCAATTTAGTCCTTCCGGCTAATTTTGGCCGGATATTATTGACGTAGATGTCGGCCGGCCAACGTGCCATTGCCGGCGTTGACGTGAATAATTTTTAACAATATTTTAATATTTTTTGCGATTTTTTAATATTTTTTCTAATATTTTTTCTTTTCTTTTTTTCTTTCTTCCTCCTTTTACCGGTGCCCGACCACCAACCATAGGTGATGGCCGGGTGGGTTGGCCTCGCCTGGGTGAGGGTCGCCGTTGATTGGCCAGGTGAGGGCTCCCCTCGCCAGATCTGGCGAGGCCGACCCTCGCCTATGCCACACCAGATTTGGCGAGGGGAGCCCTCGCTAAGGCTCGCCCTCACCTAGGCGAGGGTCGGCCTTGCCCAGGCTAAATTTGGTGAGGTTGACCCTCGCCCAGGCTATGACAACCTCGCCAGGCATTGCCCGCACCAAGGCAATGCCTTAGCCTGGGCAAGGGTCGGCTTCGCTAGATCTGACCTAGATGAGGCTGACCCTTGCTTGGCCGGTGGCCAGTCACCGACAAAAGAAGAAAGAAAAAAATGGAAAAAAAACAGAAAAAATAATAAAAAAATATTTAAAAAAATTAAAATATTATTAAAAATTGTCCAAGTCAGCGTCGGTTGTGCCATGTAGGCTGGTCAACGTCCACATCAGCAATATGCGGCCAAAACTAACCGGAATGATTGAATTGACACTATGTCAAATATGTTTAGGACTTAATTGACACCAAAAAAAGGTTTATGACTAAATTGATACTAATGCAATAAGTTTATGACTTTTCTGACAGTTTCCCATCAAGACAAGTGCTAATTTATGTTGAGTAACGTAGTCGTACCTTTGGCTCCTTTCAACGAAATGATTGTAAGCTGGAAAATGATTGGTTCTCCAAGTCCGAAATGCTTCCAAATGAGACTACCACCCAAACTTTTTGTTAATTACATGGACGCCGTCGAGTGGTACTGGGACCACTTTCAGCTTGTTTTCTTCGGAGGATGGATGATCACTGTTGTAGATTATGTGCAAAAGCCTTTTTCTTTTGGTTTATGTCGGAATAAGTCGTTAAGAGCTGTTAGATTAAAAAGTTCTTGAAGAGTTGTATCAAGTACACATATGGAGGAGGAGCATATGCATTAATACACCGAAAGAAAAGAGAAAAGAGCGCAAGGTTGTCCCACTGTCCTTTGTCTTATGAAAGAAAAGAGCAAAATTTGATGTTGTCTTCCTGTGTTGCACAATCAAACTTGGGGGAAAATCTACTGACATTTCTATACCCAAAAAAGAGAGAAGTAAACATATGGAGGGTATCTGGACATGCGGAAGCGAAGAGAGAAGAGGAGGTTGTGCTTCTACCCTTTCAGAGGAATCCTCTAATTAACAGTTCCTTCTTGCTGTACAGTGACCAAACAAGCACCATCGAACCTCCTCCAATCTTGCACAATGTTCTTTCCGAGAGAGGTTGCGCCTGCTCCCCTCAGCCCCAAAATTTCCGCAAGGTCGTTTATCAAGTGATCCAAGATCTCGTACCTCGTTCGAGAAGCTTGTCCCTCTGGTTCACCTGGTTGTAGTTCATAGACCTGGGCCGGTTGCACGTCCAGCGTGAGACCGTTATCGAATCTACCCTTATCGTGCAATCTTTCCACTTGAGTCGCAAGGTCACTCACCTGATCTTCCAACTTGAAATGAGACAAGAAACGCCCCTCTTTCACTTTTCGTCCTAACTTGTGGACTTGACCCTCCAGGGATTCTACACAATGTATCCACACATCGACTTCCCTCTTCCTTTTCTTTGCCGGTCTCCTCTCTTCCTGCTCTAGTTGGTCACTTATGTCAGCCTTCTTGGCTGACACCATTCTCATGTTCATTTCCAGGGCATCCATCTTCGCTTTGACTCCGTTCACCTTGCTGACCTTTTGAACAACACCGTAGATGGCATCTTTGGCGAATTCCACAAGTTTGGTGACATCCATTGTGAGACTGCTGTGGGAATTAGGGTCAAAATGTTATCAATTAGTATTCCAGGCACAAAACTTCTTTCGAGTGTTGATTGTTTGTTGGTATTCGAGGTGCAAGACAAGAATGAAAAAGGAAGGACTCTAGAGAAAGAAAAGAAGCATACAACCATTCGAAATAGATTGCTTTTTTCTTTAATAATTATCGTTTCACTAGCTACTAAATCAATTAGACCAGTAATCCAAGATAGTTCCAATGAGTCGAGGACATTAACAAAGAAGGATATCAACAAAAAACATAAAAAAAGTTAATACTATCAAAATTCCAATTTGGTAACCCTGACAGATTTTTTCCAAATTTCTCAAAAAGTCTCAAATTGGAACCCATGACACACTTATCATAAACTAATTTTCGTCTCAAGAAAACTCAAATCCATCCTTCCGTTAAAAAGCATATGTTACATGTGGAAGAAAACTGCAAGACGAATTTGATGTGGAGAATGCTAGATTCGACCGTGGAAAATTCACATGTGTTGACACATATGCATCTTAATGTGATAATGAAGGGTAAATTTGGGTCGGTGGTACTGCTTTGGGATTTTCCATGAGACGAAAATTAATTTGGGTTAAATATCTTATAGGGTACTAGCTTGGGAAATGTACTAAGAAGAACGTGCTAAATTTTGTTTGCCAAATCAAATGACAATCTACCGGTACCTAGTTACAGAGAGAGCGCGGGAAAATTAAGTATAAAAATGAGAGCTCCAAATTTGCCCTAATCTAAAGCAGTCTCACCTGGTAAAAACTTGTTGATAATCCTCCTAATGGAGTACCGCAACAAGAGATTAATTCAACAAGGGAATTGAGAGCAGAGTGATGGAAGCAATGGCTGCAAGACAGAAGCCAATGGTGAAGTGAGTAGAAGTAGTGTTTTTAAGTCAATGCCTGGAGCAAAGGTCTTACGGCACGGGTCCGACGGGGGAACTTCTCGGAAGAAACGCCGAAGTCTTGGGGACGCATGGGAGGCATTTTTCTCTCAAGGAAATGATAAAAAAAGTCATAACTTTATTGCACTTGTAACAATTAAGTTCTAAAATTTTCAATTGAATCTTAAACCTTTTAACATTTTACCAATTTAGCCCATCCGGTCAATTTTAATCGAAAATCGCTGATGTGGATGTCAGTAGTGTCACGTAGGACAGTTGACTTTAGCGTGGATAATTTTTTTATAATTTTTATAAAAAAATTAAATTTTTTATTTTTTTATTTCATTTTATCTGTTCCTTTTTTTTTTTCTATCAAGTTCGGTGAGGGTTGGCCAGCAACCCTTGCCGGTCACAGGCGAGGGCCGGCGACCGTCCTCGGCCACAGGACAATGGTCACAGTCCTCGCCCAAAATTGACGAGGGCCTAGTGGCCGGCGAGGGTTGGCTAGCAACCTTTGTCGGGCTTGGAAGAAAAAAAAAGAAAGAAAAAATAAATAAAAACTTAGAATTTTAGAAAAAATTATAAAAATTATCCACGTCAGCGCCGGTCGTGCCACGTAAGACGGCCGGCGTTCACATCAGCGATTTCCGGCTAAAATTGGTCGGATGGACTGAATTGACAAAAAGTGAAAATATTTAAAACTCAATTGAAAGATTTATAACTAAATTGATACAAGTATAATAGGTCCGAGACTTTTTTGGTAATTTCGCCCCTCCCCCCAAAATGGTCGCTTTCTTGTCAAAAGCTAGTTGATGCCTAGTGCATTATGCTGGTAAACATATAATCTGTAAAAGATATTTGAGACTATTTCCAACCTTCTTTAGCTATTCCGTTTCATATAATCTTTTGCATTCAAATTAATTTCGGGTGCATTAGAAAAGCTATAATTTGCGAAATTTTTTCTTAGAAACATCGTTCACATGGCTTACAAAAATGAATTGGCGAATAATTTTTTCATCGACAACGAAAATGCCTACACGTAAATTATTATTGATGATGAAAATATTTTTCGTTAACCAGTAATTCTAAGTAATGCAATTAATCATTTTCAAGTCATTGATTTCGGGTGAAAAAACTCACCACTAGTAGAATAACGAAATTTCTCTTTTGTTTTAAAACCTACTAATTGCACAATACCCTCTTCATGGTAGATTAAAACTTTGTAGAAAAACCGTGGAACTTACCACGAATCCTGGATTCACCTTCGCGGAAGATGGCTAAACGACTTGGGAGTGTCTCTGCACGACTCACATGGGAGGCTTTTCAATATCCTAATTTAAAAATATACGTCAAGAGTCTCCGACATGCCGTTTGTTTCACGTTAACATATACTATTTTCCGAGAAATCTCTCCAAAAACGCGTTTGCTTTCCCGTTAAGAACTAGTTGAGGCTCCGACATATATCTAGTCTATAGGAGATGGTTTTAGACTATTGATCCTTTCTGTTTCGAAACTCAAATGAAAATTTATTGAAACTCCATTCAGAAAATACAATTCAAAAAAAATTTATTCATAAATAAATGATGTTAGACTACCATTAACAAAATCATATATGATAGGATAGCCCATATTGGAAAAATAAACAGCATTAGAGGATTATTAGAATGGTTACACATCGTTTTTACGAATTAGTGAATATTAAAAAATCACATAAAGCCCTTACCAACAAAAAAAATCACATAAAAAATTAGAAAATATAAAAAGGATAATTTTATTTATAAAAACTTGCATACGGTTTCCCATATTTCATAAGTAGATATGACTAATGCATAATTACAGATGATTCTAATGATACTATTTTTAGATATCAAAATCATTTGTAAATTAAATGTCAACAAAAAGTAAAATAGAATTAAGGGCCTGTTAATATTGCCTAGGTGTTGCTTCACAAAAAGAGATGAGATAGATAAATATTAAATTGACATCTAATCAACATTAGCTACATTTGGTAATGATAACTAAAACTTCATGTTTTTTTTTGTTTTTAGTACAAGTGTTGCTTCTTTAAGAACTATAAGATAATTTGATATATGTTTGGACTCATTGAAGCAAAAAATAAGATAATTCCTATTAATTAGAAAGATAATGTTGATCAACATTTAATGTATCTAATGGAATATGTTAACGCACTACAAATATTTTTGCATATTACCTCAACTTTCATATAAACGAGAGTATTGACGCATTGCCTCATCTTTCAGCTCCCAAGTGGCCTTTCTTAGTATGGTTTTGCCATTTGATCTTCACATAGGGAATAGTTTGGCGTCTCAACCTTTGACATGTCAATAGGTTGTTCCTCATAAGTTAAGTCGTCCTGTAATCTCAAAAGTATAAAATTTAACATGTGTTCAAGATTTGTCACATATTTCTGCAATAAAGATATACGAAACACATTATCTATGCTGCATAAAGCTAGTGACAAAGCAAGTTTATAGACATCATTACCAAGCTTCTCTAAGATCAAGAATGATCCGACATATCTAGGACTTAACTTGCCGGCCATACCAAATCTCAAAGTGCCATTTATAGGAGAAACTTTCAAGAACATCTTCCATACTAAATTCCACTCTATGCCAACTAAGGTATGTGTAACTTTTCTCACAATTCTATGTCATTATGAGACACTCTCCGACCAACCTCACTTTTTCTTCCGATTGTTAAATAAACTCTGGCCCGTTAGTCTTTTTTCACCAACATCATCCCAACAAATAGGATTTTTGCCTTTTCGACCATACACTTCAATAATGCAGGATATCAACATGTCCTTTAAGGTCTGAATTGTTCTCTGTAACGGTCTATATCTGTCTACGGGTGAAAAGCTGTACCATATGAGTGTAGTATTCTTATCACTTGACGTTCCAGGTAGACCAATGATAAAATCCATGGTGATATGCTGCACTTGGGTTTAGATGTTCGCTTTTCACTTGTTGACATCATTCTTCACCTTAATTAACCATAAGTATTCTCTCATATCCTTTTACATTTTAGTGCCCCGGATGAACTGAGAATCTGGTACTGTGAGCTTCTTGTTTTTTCCACTAAGAATCATCAGGAACGCATAATTGATCATAAATCCCATCACGTGGATAGCGAATGTTTGTCCCCCAACTTCTTACACTTTCTCTGATTTCTGCAATTGAGGATCTTTGTCCTGTTCAGACTTGATTCTACCAATCAAGGTAGGTTGTACTAAAAAATTAGCTAATCGAGCACCAAGCAGATGAATCAATACCTCCAGGTCAAGCTTTCTCATGTTCTCAAGATTATATTTCCGACGCTGCTGACCTTTTGAACAAGACTGATGGCATGTTTGGCGACTCCGAGAATTTTGTTGACATCCATTGTAAGACTGCAGAGAGCATTAGCGGAAAAATCTTGTCAGTTAGCATTCCAGGTACAAAACTTTTCAGCTTTCAGCATTTATATTTTGACTTCTAACCAATAATTGAGTACTTCAGCATTTCCGGACTGTTAATTGTTAATTAGCATTCGGGTTGCAAGACAAGAATGAAAATTGTTAATTATTGCACCTGATCTATGCAATAATTTTCGAGCTTGATAGCATCTAGATTTTAATAAAAGTTATAAATGAGGATAAGAACCATGCACTAACAGAGGTGTGACAGAGGAAGAAGTGAAGCAAGCTATGTTCCAGTTGGTGCCTCGAAAACTCCTGGGCTTGATGGCTTTGCAGGAATCTTCTTTCAGACTTTTTGGGATGTGCTGTAGTTGGGCCTTTAACAGCTAAAGAAGTCATCGGATTTCCATGCGGGTCAGCATCCTTCTCTAATCAACTTGACATATATAATGTCGATTCTGGAAAATCGACTACCTAGGGAGCTTCATCGCTTTAGTCCAACTACTGGTGGGGATAGATGTTACAAGAAGGTAAATTCCTTGAAGAGTTGGCAGTGTCTTGCTCAACCCGATCTGTGGGAGGATTAGGATTTTAATTCTCTCTGCGTTTTATGGGACCCTTGCTAAAACTTCAAACTTGCCTCGAGAACAACTAAAGAGTCTGATGCTTTATGGGTGAAAGTGGTAAAAGGAATCTGTCATCCTAATTGCTCCCTTTTTGTTAAGCTAAACAAAGGGGCAAGAACTTCTGGGAGATGGGCCAGGCTATTAGAAGGTCTGGAGATAGTTGGACAAGGAGCAATGTGGCAAGTTTATCTTGGAAAAATACCAGCGCTTGGAATGAAGATGGCTACCAAGCCTAGAGGGATGTCAATTAAAATCAGCAGGCACAGAATCTACAAGGATACAAATGCATGGGACTTCTCATCCATCCAACTAAATCTGAGCATGGAAAGGAAGTTGGCTAATATAAGTGTTAAGTGCGTTCCTATAGGTGGGCGACTTACAGCGAAATATGCCTATTATTCTTTGAAATTGTGCAGGAGATACCATGCAAGAAGGGACATTCAAGCTCACTTAACGTGAATCAGAAGGCTTGGAAGGCCACTTGGAGTACTGACTCTCCTTCCAAACATAATTACTTTCTTGGGGGTCGTTTCTAATGCACTTGCTACCAATGGTGCAGAACAAAAATAAAGCAGAAGGATGGCTGCTGTCCTTTTGGCAAGGAAGAAACTGTTGAGCATGTACTGCTAACCTATGATTGGACATCTTCTATTCGGTTCAGTGTATTGGGGATTTAAATGGACAGGGCAGAAATTGGATCCTCGGATGCATGGTGGACGGAAATTACGGTACATACATGCAAAGTTGGTACAAAAGGTGTGACAGCCCAAGCCAAGTGGCGGAGCGCGGGGAGGAGGGATGGCAGTGCATCCGCGCCACTACCCCGGACGTGCGTAGGGAAGTGTGGTACCTCTCTTATCCCACATCGTCTAGGAGGAAGTTCCGAGCTAGCTTATAAGGCTTGAGGTTCTATATTTGTGTAACGTGTTTTAAAGCCGTGAGGGTCAGTAAGCCCAAAGCGGACAATATTACACAGTGTAGACCTGGGGTGTTACACAAGGTACATCTGGTCTTTCAACCAGAAGGGGTTGTGTTCCTTTGTTTACGAACATTAGAAATCTTTTGAGCAGTTTGAATCTATCTCAGTGGAGAATGTCATTAGGAAGTCCAATGAGCGTGCCAATTGGGTTTCATTGGCTGCTACTGCTAGTGGGAAAGATGTGTCCTCGGAATCACATACGTGAACCCATATTTTCTTTAATGTCTCTTTTACTGGATAATGTCAAGGCATTTCCTCCATTAGCAGATTTGTTCTGTACTCGAAAGTATTCTGAAATGAATTCTTTCGGCAAGAAGAAGAAACATAAAACAAACATAACAATGTATGGTATCGTGGAAATTTGCTCAAGATTTGACAGAACTACAAAAGAGAGAACAGACAAACGACTCAACACAGGATGTAAATTTTCTTTTCGTTCCTTGTGTAAAGGATGTACGAAATAAATTTAAGGAAAGATAGGCATGACAATTCACCAGTACCAGTCACACGAAGAGCGCAGGAAACTTTAGGGCCAGAGTAAAAAAGCTCCACGTTCTAACCTGGGAAAAACTTGCTGATAATCCTCCATGTGAAATACCGCAACAAGAGATTAGTTCAACAACAATATAGGCAGAGTGAAGGGAGGACTGGCTGCGACAGAGAAGCCAAAATCGAGGGAAATGGTAATGTGAACAGGAGTAGACTTTATATAATGTGAACACAAGCAGTCTAATGTGAACACAAGCAGGGTAGACTTCAAACAATGCTGTCCAATGTGAACACAAGCAGAGTAGAATTTCGTAGTGTGAACACAAGCAAAGTAGAATTTCATAGTGTGAACACAAGCAGAGTAGACTTTATGGTCGCCTATTCTACGGGGAACGCCACCATGGGACACCTTCCTGGAAGAGGGTGCTCGTTGATCGATCAGCTTTTGGATCACGTATTCACATTTGCCGAGTCAGACAAAGGGTAGGATTCTTGCATACACCTTCCTGGAAATATGGCGCAAGTTTAGGGTTCATATTGGAGTCATTCTTTTCCCCCCAAAAAAGAGTCGCTTTCATGTCAAAGACTAGTGCCTTGTGCAATGTGCTGACAGACATTCAGCCCGTAAAAAATAATTTGAGACTATGTCTACTCTTCTTTATCTATTCTGCTTCCAAGATCGTGCGTCTGTTTCTTGGAAAATTAGTAATTTGGAAAAAATTGTACAAAAAAAATGATCGTTATTATCGTTTAAGAAAATGAATTAGCAAAAATAAAAGTTTAGATATAAATTGACGTCGATGATGGACATATTTTCCGTTAATTAATAATTCTATATGATACAGACAATCATTTTTTACAAAACGAAATCTCTCTTTTTCCATAGGATCCACTTTTTGCATGATACGCCTTGTCTTGGTAAAATTAAAAACTATGGAAAAATGATAGAACTTATCACGAATCTTGGGTTTCGCCTTCTGGGAAGATAGCTGAAAGTCTTGGGAGTGCTTCTGCACAACTCACAGAATTGCTTCCACTACCTTAATCTGGCGGCATTTGTTTCATGTTAAGAACTAGTCGAGACCCAGCGCGCTGCTCTGACACGCGTCTGGTCTATAGAAGATGGTTTTAGACTGCTTTTCTGTTTCCCAACTCAAAGAAAAATTTATTGAAACAGACAAAGTTAAGTCTTTGACCCAGTTACGATGACTACATTAGAAGATACATCGGGCACAGAGAATGCGTCATGAGAGTTCTATGTGTGTTCATAAATGAAAATAGTCACTGAAGCTACTATCAACTCAGTGAACCAAGATCTCAAAAGCTTTATGATAAGATCTGGTACCTAATATAGATCCTTCAGATGTTGATAAGGGGTGTAAATTCATTAATTTAATTGTAGGAGCCAAGGCTTCCTAATGCATGGATAATGAGACAAGTCGCACTTCGCACGGTTAAGGAAATAGAATCGAGTGAACGGTCGATTAATAAGTATTAATAGGCATAAATCCTAAGCATACTGATCGGTTCCGTTGCCTTCGAATGGTAAAACAGAAAAGAATCATAAGGACTGATTGAGTCTGGACTAGAAAAAAAAATTTACCGAAATTCGGATTGAAGCGATCTGTATCAGCAGAGAGCAAAAACCTGATTCGAGGCCAAGATGACCCTTACTCAAACTCTGGACCTGTAGTAAACAGAACTGAAACAACCTGATCCAAAATCAATTTGATCAGCCTAGTTGCAGCAACAAGGCGTTAAGTTGAAGCTTCTTCCTGAGGAAGAACTGCTATCTGAACTAGTTCATTACATTTCATTTCATCACGCACATCACGCGATCGAAAAGTCAATATTAGTTTACATCCATTTCTTTCATGGCCTATTCCCAAGGTGACTAAAGAGAGATACTTCTGAACATCATCCAAGATAAGAACTTATTCCCTACCCTCCAATGATCCCCGATAATCATCATTGACATTCACCAGATCCAGTCCTAGATAATTAGCAATGTCACTCCGCACTTTGTCAACTGTGCCTTCCTGCGGAACCGTGACCAACAGCCCTGAAGTACTTGAATATGTATGTGCTTCGCGAGATTGGTTTTGCCGGCTCCTCCTTCACTAAATAATCCCAGAGCTCATCCAATTTAACTTGAGAAGCTTGTCCCATTAGTTCTCCCACCGGCAGTTCGTAACCTCCAGGAGGTCTCCACATCCACATGGAGGCCTTCATTGAATCTACCTTTCTCATGGAATTGTTCCACTTCGCTCATAAGATCAATGACCCGATTCTCCAATGTTAGACGAGACCAAGGCGCCCATCTTTAACCCTCCGTCTTAACTTTTTGACTCGATCCTTGAGCGGCTGTACATTCTGCGACCAGATGTCAACCTCTCCCTTCCCTTTCTTTCCAGGCCTCCTCTCAGCCCGTTCCAATCCTGAACGTATGAGAATTGGACACCATTTCCATTTTACTTTTGGGAGTATTCATCTTTGATTTGATTCTTTTACGTCACTGATCTTTTGGACCAGACTGATGCAAGCGTTGCCGAATTTGGTGACTTCTTTAGTTTGCATCAGAAGCAGATCAAGACTGCACTATTACCTTCGTTGACTGGATGATTGCTTTTGTTACCTGACTGGTTGATAACTAAACCAGAAAATGATTCTGATAATTCTGGGTACAAAACTAAGTTTGGAATTGAAAAAGATAGGTTCACATAGCTACAAAAGAGAGAACAGACAATAGTAAGGACTAAGGACACGGGTGAAATTGACTGAGCAAAACTACACGTGACAATGTATCCCGAACCGATAACGAGAGAAGACGGGAGCGAAACTAAGGGAAATGGTAAAGGGAGAAGAACAAGAAGCAGAGGAAACTTCACAGTTACGCACTTCACGAGCTCATGGTTCCGAGATGCCTTAAATGTCAACAAGTCTTCTGGGATGAGGTCTACGTCCGGACACCTTCCTGGAAAACTAGTTTAACAGTTTACCTTTTTATTTTGTTATTGTTTCGCAAGAAAATTGCATTGGATATACGGTTCTGTTTATTTCACGGTAGATAGATGATTTGAAAATTATTTTCCTATTAATGATCGCTTATATCACTAAAACGATAAGTCAATAAAAAATGTTTTCATTATCAACAACAATTTATATCTAAACATTCTCATGGATGATAAAAATATTTTTTATTCATGCATTTTTGTAAGTAATACAAACAATTTTAGAAAACTGTTTTTTAAATCATTCATTTTTCGTGTAACAAACACATCTTAAATGTACCGTCTTAGAGTATCTTATGTCTTCAGAAAATTGAAGTCCTCTGATACTAGATTTTGGCCAACTTAACTCATATAATGGCTTCATCTTTTCCCTTATAATTTTTCAACATTAGATTGAGATGCAACGGATCTCAGCTGTTCGACGTATATTAGCCTGGATGGTTATGATTTTTTGTTTTTCGATCCAATGATGAGAAGCCCAAGAGGCATGGTGCCTCCTGGAAACCATAGATTATATTGCAAGGTTTGAGCAACGTGGCACGCTCACACGCGAACCTTTTGATCAGATGAGGGTTAAGAACGGGGGACTGAAAGAGTGGCATGAAGGGTGTGTGGAATAATTCAAGGAACACTAGGCATGACAATTTAGCAGAACTAGTTACATGGAGAGCGCCAGAAAATTTATGTAAAAAAAAGCTCCAAGTTTTCACTAATCTAGAGCAGTCTCGCCTGATAAAAACTTGCTGATACTCCTCCAAATGAAATACCGCAACGAGGGATTAATCGACAATGGAATTAAGGGATAGTACAGCCAGAGTAAAGGAAGGGATGGCTGCGAGAGCGGAGAAAAGGTCGAGGAAAATGGTGAAGCCAATAGAAGCAGAACTTCAAGTCAAAGCCTGAAGCATAAGTCTTGAGGCATGGGGTCTACGGGGGACACTTTCCTGGAAGATGGTTGAGGCAGACAGACGACGAAATTATCATCAAGAGTCTTGCATACAGCTTCTTGGAATTACCCAAAGTCTTTGGGTCATATTGGAGACGTTTCCTGGTCGCTTTCATGCGACTGGTTGATGCCTTGTGCATTGTGCTGCTAAACATATACATGGTATTAGATATTTGGGACTATATCTTAGTCCCCTTTAGCTTTTATGCTTCATCATCATATCACACTGTATGTTGTTGAGAGGACGCAATAGAAGCTCAATATCTCTACCCGGAGAGATCGCAAAAAGGGATCCTAAGTTCGAGTTCATCAACATATCTAGTTGGATCCACATTCACTCAAAAGCATAAGTCAATGAGTTATATGCCAATTAGGATATATTAATTGTTTGGGAAAATTGTCCAAAAGGTCATAAACCTAGCAAATTCAATCATAAACTTTTCAATTTTGCCAATTCAGTCTTAAATATTTTCACGTTTTGGATCCGTCAGGCTTGTTTTCTTCGGAGGATGTATGGGCACTCTTGTAGATGATGTGCAAAGTTTATGTAGGAATATGTCGTTAGAGCTGTTAGATTAGAAGTTCTTGGAGAGTAGTTGTATCAAGTTCACGTACAAAGGAGGAGCATCCAGGATCTTCTCCACCGCCACCGTTGATAATTTTGAAGAAGTAATCTTCTCGCTCGAAAATCTGCTTCAATTTTGCAAGAGATGGGGTTGGACAAGGAGAGCAGAGGTGTGCGAGAACGAGAGTTGAAAGCGAGTCATTTGATTATTGCATATAGTTCTTACAAATGAAGATGTGTTGATTGCAAGTGATCCCAAAATTGTCACAATGGGAGAAGTTTCACAATAGCTTAAAAGAACACTTGGGCTGGAACATAAACAAAAAGCACTTGAACTAAGGCCATGAATAGGCAGAGAGAAAAGTTAATCGGTGGATACGCAACTGTCAAGCTAAGCTCAGTCAATGAAAGTGCCATCAAGATAACCCCCTACCCTAAAAAGGCAATACAGATTGAAAGAAACCCTTCAGTCCTGATGTCCTTTTTAAAAGATCAAGCTTGTCAAAATGCTGCAATGATACAAAAAGGAAAAGAAAGAAAATCAAAATTTCTGCTATCATAGGTTATGTTAAATGGATATGATGAAGAGAGGTGCTTCTAAAATCTTCTCTAACTTGGGGACATCTACAAATCCCGAGTTGCTCCATGGAATAACAGATGATCGTGCCCCTCTAACATCCCAGTCAAGTTCATCAACGCGCTCAGACCCGCACATTCCCTCTTGCAACTTCTCCAACCCCTCTAATTCTAGTTTTTACACTTTCTTCCAACCCTTGACGTCTCTCCTCGGCAAGAGTTGGCACATGGACAAGCTCGTGGCAATTCATTTGCTCGCACACATCCCTCGATCGTGATGTCACGATCAATTTGCATCCATTTCTTTCTAGGGCTATACCCACTTCTTTCAAACAGTAATATATCCCAACATCATCCAAGATAAAGAGAAGTCTCCTACCCTGCAATGCCTCCTTCAGTCTTGCGCCCCAGTAAACACCACTCACCTCCGTCAAATCTAGTTTGAGATAGTTTGCAATGTCAGTTTGTATCGTACCAACAGTGCCTTCTTGCGATACAGCGACCAAACAAGCACCATCGAACCTTGGACAATCTCGCACTATTTGATCATGTATATGCTTTGCGAGAAAGGTTTTGCCTGCTTCCGCCTGTCCCCAGACACCCACACGGAGCACCTCTTCGTTCATCAAGCAATCCCAGATCTCATCCCTTTTTGTTTGAGAAGCTTGTCCCACTAGTTCACCTGGTTGTAGTTCATAGCCTCGGGCCGGTTTCACATCCAGCGTGAGACCGTTATCAAATCTTCCCTTCTCGTGCAATTTGTCCACTTCAGTCGCAAGGCCACGCACCTGATGGGCCCACATGAGACGAGAAAGGAAATTCACCTCTTTAACTTTTCGTCCTAACTCGTGGACTTGACCCTCCCGCAATCCTACATTTTGTATCCACAAGTGAACTTCTTTCTTCCTTCTCTTTCCTGGTCTCCTCTCTTCCTGCTCCAGTTCCAAACTTATGTCAGCCTTCCTGGCTGACAGCAGTCCCACATTCATTTCCAGAGAATCCATCTTCGGTTCGACTCCGCTGAGGTCGCTGACCTTTTGAACGAGACTGAGGGCATGTTTGGCGATTCCCAGAATTGTGTTGACATCCATTGTAAGACTGCTGAGAGCATTAGGGGAAAAATGTCGTCAATAAGTGTTTGAGGTACAAAACGTACAAAAATCTCATCATTTTTAGATCAGTTTTCGAAGGAAAACAACCAAAAGTTATCCTCAAAATTGACTTGTGGACTGAAAACAAGGTACTGTTTGATATAAGAAAGTCGAATGAAAAGTGGAATTCCAACTAGATTGCTTTTTTTTTTTTAATATGCATCATTTCACTGGCTACTGAATCAATCATACGAGCAATTTGAGATAGTTTAAATGTGTCAACGACAATAACAAAGGGGGACATCAACCAAAAAAAAAGAAAAGGAAGAAAACGGGACTAGAGAGAGTGAGAAATGCTATAAGTACTAAGAAAAAAGTACTAAATATTGTTTACCAAATGATCTGGTATGAGATTACTGGTCAATTAAAGGATTCACTCTTTCTATATGATCTAGCTTTTAAATTATTGAAAGAAGATGACATAGAGGTGATTATTGCGATTTTACGCCATTTAGTAAAGAGTCTATTGGGACATCTTGGATTAACTCACTCAAATTTTTGTTTGCATTGACCCATCCTATACCATATCTTAGGGAGGCATATAAATAAGCACTTTCCTAAGAGAGACCTATCCTGCTAATGCTCTCACCTGAGCAACTTCAACATTGGAGTTCCAATGCTAAACTTGCCATTAAATCATAAGGCACTTCTTATGAGTTAATTTAAGATTCACATATATAATCTTAAAACGTCCTCCCCACATTCAGTGTGTAATTTAGTTCATTCCCGCCACCTTTGCCTTCCTAGATGCCTACCAGGAGCTGCTCGTCAAGGCACTCTCGCCCCAACGATCACTCCCGACCCTCATTGGACCGGGTAACTACAGGATCACCAGTTTCCGTGTAATTTGTCCTCAAATCACACACCTATTGGAAGGTCCCGCTTTGATACAATATTGTGAAATCCATAGATTAACTCACTTGATGTGTTGTCACTTTTGGCCCATCCCACATGGAGCCTCACGGATTAGTCCTTTGGCGTATAAGTAGACACTTTTCCAGGAGGTTACCCTTCCTAGTAGTGCTATTACCTGAATACGCTTAACATTGGAGTTCCAATGATAAACTTGTCGTTACTCAGAAGCCACATCTTGTGAGTTAATTGGAACTTCACATATATAATACAAGAACGTTTTCCCCATGTTCGGTGTGCAATTAGGTTCATTCCTATCACATTCGCCATCCTAGGAGCCTATCGGAATCCGGTGGGCCTGGAACTACCCGTTCCGATGAGAACGAGGTATGGATCTGGTCCTAATGATCACCCCCCTCCCCCAAGGTGATCACTCCTTGTTCTTATCGGAACGGGTAGTTATAGGCCCACCCGCTTTATTGTGACTCGCGCTCTGATGATCACTCCCCATTGTCTTCGGAATGGGTAGTTACAAGCCCACGAGCTTCCACCTCCAAGGTGGGCCTGTAACTACCCATTCCGATGAGAACGAGGTATGGATCCGGTCCCGATGATCACCCCCCTCCCCTGAGGTGATCACTCCCCGTTCTCGTCAAAACGGGTAGTTATAGGCCCACCCGCTTCTGTGTGACTCTCGCCCCGACGATCACTCCCCGTTCTTTTCAGAATAGATAGTTACAAGCCCACCCGCTTCCGCGTGACTCTCACCCCAATGATCACTCCCCGTTGTCGTCGGAATGGGTAGTTACAAGCCACTAACTTCCACCTCCACGACGGGCCTGTAACTATTTGTTCCAACGAGAACGAGGTATGGATTTGGTCCCAATGATCACCCTCCCCTCCCCCGGGATTATCACTCCCGTTCTCATTGGAACGAGTAGTTACAGGCCCAGTCGCTTCCGCATGGCTCTCGCCCCAATGATCACTCCCTTTCTCGTTGGAACAGCTAGGTACGCGCCCACCGGCTTGCACGTGCCTTTGTCCTCGAATCAGCAGAGGAGTTAAGAGAATTAAGAGACTTGTTGATAAATTCAGCGGTGCATAGGATTCAGAGTCCGTGCACCTGGCAGAAACTTGCGGATAATCCTCCAATGAAGTACTGCAACAAGAGCATAATTTCAACAAGCGGACGAATTGAGAGAATATATAGGCAGAGTAAAGGAAGGAATGGCCACGAGAGAGAAGCCAAAGGAGACGAAAAGGGTGGAGTGAATAGAAGCAGAGGAAACTTCGCAGTCGTTCTGCTCTTTTAAGTCAATGCCCGAAGCAAAAGTCTTAAGGCAGAGTAAAGGAAGGAATTGCCACGAGAGAGAAGCCAAAGGAGACGAAAGGGGTGGAGTGAATAGAAGCAGAGGAAACTTCGCAGTCGTTCTGCTCTTTTAAGTCAATGCCCGAAGCAAAAGTCTTAAGGCATGGGGTCTACGGGAAACACCTTCCTCGAAGATGGCTTTATGTTGATTTAACATTTAAAGCCCTCTTTACCTTTTCTGCTTTATGATCGCTTGTTCGCAATGGCACCGCCAATTTACCTTTGCATAATTGTCCGAGCCAGAAACGATAGAATTATCATCATCAAGAGTCTTGCATACACCTTCTTGGAAATAGCCAAAGTCTTCGGGTCACATTGGAGGCGTTCTTTATTTGCTAAAACAGTCGCTTTCATGTAAAAAACTAGTTGATGACTTGTTGTGCATTGTGCTGATAAATATATATCGATAATTCGAGAAAGATTTTGCTTAGAATGATTGCTTATATCACTTACAAAAATACATCAGCGAGCAATATTTTCATCGAACGACGAAAGTTTTTACACATAATAATGAAAACATTTTTCCATTAACTATTAACTTTAAACGCTACTGACTATCACTTTTAAAGAAAATGTCTTTCAAATTACTGATTTCAGGTGAAATAACCCTTTATCAGTTGCAAAACAAAACTCCTTTGTCATAAAACCTACTTATTGCATAAAACTCTTTTCATATGTCGCAAAACTACATGTGACCATTTACCCCGAGGAGGAAAGAGACATGATTTCACTAATCAAAGACAGGAAGAGAGTAAGTTTCTGCGCCTGGCATAACTTGCCAAATATATGTTAGTTCGATCCAGAGACTAGAGTAGATTGGCTGCTGCAACAGACAGAAGCATGGTGCTGAGATGCCTCAAAAGTCATAGTCTTCAGGGATGAAGATTAGTTTAATTAGTTTAAGCAATTTTTAGGTTCTTTCTTTTGCAAGAGTTGGAACGTCCCATGGACATCGTTCTTCCTTTGTTGAGAAATTCCAAGCATGAGCTACCCCCCGCTATCCCTTTTAAGGTGCAAATCGAAACTTGGGTGGCTAACTGAACATGCAATTCTTCACGTGGTGGTATGAATATGTGCCATAATCCACAAGTACAAAAGTATTATTCTGAGATCAGTTTAGAAAAAAACAAGGAAATATTATTCTCAAAATCAATTTAAAGACTCAAAACATGGTATTCTTTGATATAAGAAAATCCAATGCAAAGTGGAAAAGCTTTTGATGTAATTTGGGGGCAACGAGGTCATTTGAAATAGAATGCTTTTTCCATTAAATAACATCGTTTCACTAACTACTAAATTGATTAGACAAGCAACTCAAGATAGTTAGAATGTGTCAAGGACATCAACAAAACAAACTGAATGCAATCACCATCTGTAAAATTACGACCAATATTTTATCTTTGAGCTTTGACTCGAGTGCATGAGTTTCTCCTCCTCATGATGATGGCCTTCCTGGGGTTTAGGTTCATGTTTTAACATAGATATCATGCATTTGGTTGTTTGTTCTCCACTTCAAAATTGACGGATAAATAAGAAGTAAGGAACGCGCATTTCCAAGAGTCACGGTGTATAATATCTCTCTTATGATACAAGTTTTTGGTGAAGGGCATTGGCAAAACTTCAAGACATCCTATTGAGTCAGCACTGCATATCGACATCGCCTTGTCCACTTTACGTTGTCCAATGCTCGACAGTCGATATGCAGAAAATCTGAAGAGAAGGGGGAGCAGGAGGTTCTTGACTTCGAGGAAGGTGCAGCCTCATTGGCATCCTCTCTAACTTGCAATAGTTACATTTTATTCCACTCCAGATAAAATTGCAGACGCTTGGTTCATGGTATGCACTTCAGTTCAAGTAAATTCTTCAATGTGGGTTTCGTCAATCTCGGGAGACGAAGAGTGGGAGACAACAATCACAGGAACCCGGTTAACGTCATGCTGCTAATTCTTTATTTGACCATCACCTCTCCGCTTCTGTTCACTTCATCTTCTAACGCTAATTTAGCTGCTATTATCTCCTCCATTCAGTCGCAATTCTCGACGCCAATATCTTCCATGTTAGCAAGGAGTCATATCAACAGAGGCGTGATTAGCTTCTTGATTTTCAGGCATTCTCTGATCTTAAGAAATCTAAGGTTGGAAAAGATGTCATTGCCAGGAGTTGGCACATGTGAAGGTGGAATGGCGGCTTCTTCTCCTGAGAATTCAATGAGGGCTCTCAATTCTCTTAGTCCTCTAAGAGTTAAAACTGTTAGTAATTAAACCAAATCATAAATGTCCTACATGCATGTTTAGTAACTGTTCGTCTTTCTATGTTTAGTTTAATGTTTTGTAAATTCTCAAAAATCTATTTCCTTGAAATGCTAGATAATTTCATGAGTCATTTAAGAGTAACAGTCATGCAACAAGCCTATATAATGACAAATCTTGTGATCATTTTCGATAAGGTGAAGTAAAAAGAAAAAAGAAAAAGCCCATTTGTTTCCTTCTCTTCCTTGAGGTGTGTAAGTTGTGAGTATTTTCACCTTCAAATTTTTCTATCAAATCGGTATCAGAGCATACAGTTTGTAATCATGGCCTCAACAAATAATTAGCTTCCTCTTCAATACCCCCGTCTTACCAAAGAAGATTGTGATAATTGGACTGCTCGAATGAAAGCCCTACTTGGCGCCTATGGTGCATGAGGACTTGTCAACACGGGCTATGATGAGCCAGAGGAA